TTGTATTATATTCTTTTTTGTTCTGTTCTTCAACTAGAAAATTTAGAGCGCTACTGACATTTGTACTTAAAACATGTTTTGCTTTGCTGACCTTCATCTTATTGAATTTTCCAGCAGTAATATCGCTTTTTTCTAATTTTGGTGTTAATTTTAATTTTAAATTTTCCTGTATTTCTGTTAACTCTAAATGTTCGCACTTGACAGTTGAAGACGATAGATTATAGGATTGAATGAATATTGCTGGCAGTTCAATTACTTTGTTATTTTGAAGACAGTTTCTGAGATTTTTTAAAAGGTGTGGCCCATCAGCAAAGAAGAATAATTTTCTGTTATTATCAAGAGGATGAGGAATTCACTATTATTGAATGTTTAGCTGCAGAAATATTTCCAAATGCTCTCCACATTGGTTGATTAATGGATCCCATATCGGAAGTAATACTGTGTACCATTAAACCAATAGATTCTGCTTTGGAGATAATTGTTTCTAGTATAGGTTTTAAATGATAGCCATCAAATCCGTTAGGAGTAAAATGATATGCAACAACTTGTTTCCATCGTGAAAAAATACCAGTAAGCATAACAACTAAAGCATGAGTAGCTTCCTGTGTTTTACCTGTATAAATTTAACAAAGAAAATAAGCAAAACGCAAACAATGAAAAATTAAAAATAAAATAAATGATAAAAATTACTACATGCAGGGGAGAAACATGCTAAAATGGAAGAGACATACTAGGAAGAGTCATATGCATTTAAGTAAAAGTTATGCCAAAAATTCTTCAACCTAACTCTAATTAACAAATGTTAAAGCATTAGTCAATCGGTGCAGTTTTTAAGAAAAACCTAGGATAGGAACAAATTATTCAATTTTCATGAAATCGCTGAGAGTATATTTTTAAAAATATAGACTTTTAAAAATGTTTCTTTAAAAAATCGATATTTTATACAATTGATATTCTATACACAATTGATGTTCTATACAATTGATATACTATATAATTAATGGGTGGCACCCAGTTGGACACAGCTCAATTGGACACGAGCCACTCACAGCGCTTGAGACTACAAAGCTCCTAAGCACCGGTTGCTGTGATTGGTGGTGTCCAATCGAGACGTGGTCAATCGGGATCACCCCATAATTAATATACTATAATTACAAATACATATAATTAAATTATAAATACATATAGTTAAATTAATCAAAGTTGACACATTTAAGAACACAATATATTACCAAAATTGTCAGGAATAGTAGTATATCCAATATGTGATTGAGTAGATGGATCAAACTGTTTACCAGGAACTAAACTCATTTCATCGATAGCTATTACAGCATTTCTCTCGCGATCATCTTTAAGCGATACTTGCTTTTGCAAAATATCAAACACATCATATAATATTCCTTCTTAAAAATTAACATTTTCTTTTCTTCTTCGCAGAGTACGTTCTGATGGAAAAGGAATTTGTTGTTTTAATAACTTCTGATAACCGTTACTTCCACATAAAAATTTTAATCGAAGAGCTTTCATTGTTGTATTATTTGACCATTTGACCTTGCGTGAATTTGAACTACTCAGAGCTTGAATTTGATCATCACTGAATATCTTATTCAATTTTAATAACGATTTTAATTTTAAATGATCTTCTGTAATCTTTTTCTTCTCATTGTTTAATCTTCTTACGTGTTTTTTCATTATTTATCTGGATTTATTTATTCTATGTAGAATGACGTTTCCCTGTCGAAGTTTACGGTTAGCTTCTTCCAGTTTTTTAATGATATCATTTTTTGTCATATTCTCATATGATAATGACTGTTCTAGAATACTATTACTACCCAAATAACATCACATGCCAGCATGCTGTGCTTAGCATATCATGCAGTTGAAATGCAATCCCTGTGTCATCTTGTATCGATAAAGCAGATAATGCTTGCATGGCGCTATCATAGCGTGCAATTTGAAACATATTTTGAAATGGCACGCTGTGATAACGCCAAGCAAGCATTATGTCAATACACTGTGTGCATTAATTCGTGTGTCGTATGAGTCTAGCAAGACCGCTCGAGCAGGACAGACCTGTGTCTGCCCTGCTTCGGGTATTGCATCATCTCATTAATTTTTTGCTGAAAAGCGTTTCCGGCTTCAACTGTGATTTGCATTACATTATTACTTTGATAAGATTGGCCACGTAAATCCAACTAAGTTGGAACCCGGGCCATACAAATATAGAAGAAGAAGAAGAAGTGTGTCGTATGTGATGTGATGTGATGTCTTAACCTCTCATCCTTGAGATCCTTATTTCGCGAGTATAATTATATTATTGGAGTAATAGTATAATCTGCACACCACCAGCGATATTTTACGATCTCTCACGTAGAAGTTTTAAGAAGTTTTAATTATATATATACATTATAATATAAAGTTCAAATTTAATATCAAAAATACGTGTTAAGAATATATATATGTAATACAAAGAAAATTTGATTTAATTTTGTTACATGTATAATAGTTAATTTATATTTAATATAGGTATTTTAAGTAAGGTTGTACATTAATAAATAATGTCCTTTATACTGCAACGTAACATATTTGGAATAAAAACAATTTTTATTAAATGATTATTTATATTAATTATAGGTTATGATTGTTTTATTTGCAAACACCAGTGTATACTTTGCTTTTGTGGAAAAATATTAAAAATATTTACGTTTTTCCGTAAAAGCAAAGTTATACATTATATTTGCAAATAAAATAATTGTAACTTAACCCTAAAAATTGTAACATAACCTAAAATATATAAGCAAAAATCGCTTTTCAAAAAGATTTGCGTACTAGCATTATGACAACATTTTGAAATACAAAATGCTTGCACAATGTTTGCACAGTATGTTGAACATGATATGCCGTCACAGTGCTAATCAGATGCGGAGTCAGCTGGACATCATAGTGGTAGCATGCCATTGCAGTGTACATGCATTATACCAGCATTATGCAAACATTTTGTTATCTGGGTAGATTGTTCCTGCTTATGTTTCTGTTTTGTTTCTGTTCGTGTTAATGATTGCGTTTCCATTTCACAATTAATCATAAATGTTACTTGAGGAGCTGTTTCATTATTCCTTATGTCAATCTGTATATTATATTAAAAGTTGATTATTTTATGATCTATACATATACTAAAGGCCCGTCTACAATACACGGAGTAAGAAGTAAGAGTAAGAAATTGACCAATCACAGTCGAATGTGAGAAGAATAATCGACTGTGATTG